AGGTGTTAATAAGGTATATAGAGATAAGTTATTCAACATATATGGATTTTGATAACCAAGGAAGTCCTGGAATTAATACTCCACAGATCCTGAGGGACAAAAGTCTTGGTCACTGCTATGAACAGCAACTCTGTCTGCCACTGGCAACAGAAAATGCAATTCAAGGATGTAGACAGAGCAACCTCAAGCAGTCCTGCTCAGAGCCTCAGGCTTCTCCTTAAATGCTGCTGGCTCCTTGATATCCTCCACAGAAAAGAATTTCACAAAAAGTCAGAGTGGAGCAAAGTTTATTGATTAAGTAGAAAAATAAGACTCAGTTGAAGAGACTCAAGTGCAGGCATCAGCCAGGTAGAGACAGAAGTGAGAACCAGGAGATGAGGGGACCTTCCCTTCTTCATGTCTCCTCTATTTCCTATAAGCTATCCTATGTCAATTTCCCCTTGTGGGGCTTGGATGCCTTAAAGTTCAGGGCTGAGCATGGCTGAAGATCAGCGTTCTGAAGCCTGAGTGTGGGGCTGGGGCACTAACCCTGACTATCTAGGAACTGAAAGTCTCCCCCTACTTGATGGAAAGGAGGTAGAGAATGAGAAGGCCAGATGGGATTCTGGAAGAAATGATACAATTTTCTGATACATTGGACTGTATAAACAATAAAGCATAGTACAATTGTTATGCCTAGACTCAAAATCAACACCCAATATAAAAGGACCTTTTGCCACGTGAGGAGCTTGAGAAACATGAGTGCTAGCCATGAATCATGAATCACTGAACCTCAAGACAGATGGGGCTGGAGGGATGGCTCAGCAGCAGAAGACCTTCCCCAGTACATACAGTAGCTCACAACTGTCTGAAACTGAAGTTCCAGGGAATCCAACATCCTCTCCTGACCTCCCTGGTGCACAGGCATACTTGCACGCAAAACACTCATATACATTAAATAAAATCTGCAAAATGTATTTTACTTTATTATTTTGTGTGTATGAGGCCAGAAGAGGTCACTGGATTCCCTGGAACTGGAGTTACAAACGGTTGCGAGCAGCCATGTCGGTGCTGGGTAGCAAACCCAGGTCCTCTGGAAGAGCAACCACGGTCTTAACCAACAAGTCATCACTCCAGCACCAAAATGAAATATTCAAAAGATAAAATCAGCTCGAGACAGACTGTCATAGTTCCAGTTTAACATACCAGTCAAGGGTGTAGCAGTGTTCATCAACCAGATTGTGAAAATTTCATGTATATACATATGTGTATGTGAGTGTATCTTTTGGTCTGTCTGTGTTTTGACTGACTGATTGAAGTCTCATGTAACAGGCTGGCTTTCAACTTGCTATGCAGCCAAGAGGCTGACCTTGATTCCCAATCCTCCTGCTTCCTCTTCCTTATGCTGGGATAACAAATGTGCTTCACGTCGGGGGGGGGGGGGGAGTGGGGGGGTTGGGGGGGTGGCGGTGGTGCATGACTTTAATCCCAGCAGAGGCAGGCAGATCTCTGTGAGTTCGAGGCCAGGCTGATCCGACAGCCTCCAAAACAATACAGAGAAACCCTGTATCATAAAACAAACAAACAAAAACAAAAAAACAACACAACAACAACAAAAAACAAATGTGCTTCACAATGCCAGAGAAAACTTCTTCTTTAGTAGAGACTATTTTTCTGAGCACAGTCTGGCTCAACCTCAATTAATAACTCCTCCACAGCTCCTCTTATTTAGCCAGATAATCACAGATACAGGAAAGGTACTTCCAGATTTGGGATGATTACACATAGATCGCCTGTGATAGGGCAATTAGTTAGTTGACTCCCTTTCCAGAGGAACAAAGAAATCATTCCTTTGAAGAATATGGAAAATTCACCTGACATTTCCAATGGATCCCCAATGATGGCTGTGACCCAACCATATGACTAAAGGAAATTGATTCTCTGATACTGAATAGATTTGGAGAACTGGAACTAGATGGGCTGCTCTTAGTGGTTCCATGGTTTTGTGGTAGTAACCTCTGCCCACTGACAGATACTTCCAGAATGGACTGGGCAATGGACTTTAGCACACCCTTGGATGCAAGGACACTGGATGGTAACTGTAAGTCCTGCAAATTTCTCTGCTGTATAACACAGACAGAAAACTGGTTTCCATTGGCATAATCATCTAATTTCCAATTATATTCCTCAAATAGCATTAGTGCATATACTATGCCTTCTGGGACCACTAAGTACACATCAAAAGCCCTTAATGATCCACCTCAAGGGATCTCACTGCTAAACTCAAAATTTAGCTTTCTGTTTGTTTTCTTTTAATTCTCCATTTTGAGACAGGGTCTCTTTACATAGCCCTGGCTGTCCTGGAACTCACCATGTAGACCAGGCTGGTCTCAAACTCACAGAGATCCACCTGCTTCTGTTTTCCAAATGCTGGGGCCAAACTGTGCATCACCACTTAAATGATGCTGACAGTCACCCCACAAAATTGATTTTGACTGAGCACAGTGGGAACCTGTGCCATCTTTAGTGTGAAATGCTGTGTATATTATACCACACGAGACTTACATACTGAAATTAAAGCAATAACTCGGTGTCCTGAGTTTCAGTGACTGGTTAGTATGATGGCTCTCAGATACAATGAAGTGAGAAACGTCCTTCTTCTTTCAGCATTGACCTTATGACTAGCCATGACAATCTACTCCATGCTTTATGGTCTACATAGTCTGGTGTAATGGACGATAACATCTTTCCAGATTCCCAAAGAGTGATCGTCCAGTCTCCATGCTAACCTTCTCATGTTCTCCTTAGATCATACATGGGAAAACTTTCAAATCCAGAGAGTTCACTCTGCAAGCGTAGAACCTGAACCTGATTCTCAGAACCTACATAAAAAAGCTAGGTGTGGCCGGGCGTTGGTGGCACACGCCTTTGATCCCAGCACTCGGGAGGCAGAGGCAGGTGGATCTCTGTGAGTTCGAGGCTAGCCTGGTCTACAAAGTGAGTTCCAGGACAGCCTCCAAAGCCACAGAGAAACCCTGTCTCGAAAAACCAAAAAACAAAACAAACAAACAAAAAAAAAAAACAAAAAAGCTAGGTGTGGTGGTGTGCAGTTGTACCTCTAGAGAGGGAAAGGCAAAGTCAGGTAGATCCCCGGGCCTCAGTGGCAAGCCAGGGTAGCCAAATTAGTGAGATCCACATTCAATGAGTGACCTTATCTCAAAATAATAAATGAATGAACAGGCTAGATTAGATGGCATCCTGAGAAACAATAGTCAAGGCTGGCTTCTGACCTCTACACATATCCACCGATACACACACACACACACAATCACAATCCCGGGAAAGGCAGAAGATACGCCATATACAGAACACAGATGCTTCAGGCATGCCAACTCAAGAGTAAGAGATCAATGTTTCAGAGCAGAGAATTGAAGCTAGATAGCTAGTTAGGAACTACAAGGGAACACAAAGCAGGGACGGGTTTCCTTTATCCCCTGTTTCTCACTTTTGTCTGAGATGAAGCCCCAGGAATCTCTTTGTAACTAACCAGCCACCTGCAAAAGAACTGCCCTCCTCTATTGGAGAATCACCACAGGCAAGATTGTTAAAATGGCAGTCCAACCTTTTTGTGACCTATGTACAAATAAGGGTCCTTTGGATCGGGTTCCTATCCATGTTAGCATTCTCTTCTCTACCTGCAAGCCCGTATCACATACCTTTAAAAAGTTCCTTCTTCAAGGATAGAATTCCGAGGTAACCAGCATATACTTTGTCAAATACCTAAACTTAGTTGTATGTGGGGTAGTTTCAAATCCCAAGGTCACCACACGTACAGCTACTTCTGGGATACTGAGGAGCACACCTGTCCTGATACTGGTGCCGGAGTCTCTTCAGCTGAGTCTTTTAGATCAGCTGACTTTGCTTCACTCTCACTCACTCTGAAATTCTTTTCCGTGGTGGAAACAAAGGCGCCAGCAGAATCTGAGTAGAAGCCATGAAGCTCTAAGCAGGACTGCTCTGGTTGTTCTGCCTGCAGTATAGAATTTCTTATTTAACTGAATTTCAAGTCCAGTTGGGTAACATTACCAGAAAAAGGGCAGGTGACCCAAGTTGGTGCTAGACCAAGGATTCTTTTTTTTTTTTTTAAGATGGAGAATTACTGGTTCTGTGTCAGCATGTTTTACTTGCTAAGTAGACTGTTATAAAGCTCTAAGCATAAAAATATCTCCCTGTGCCTTGTGGGATGGTTCCACCTATGAACTGTGCCCTTATCCCTAGGTCTCCACTCTCAAGTACACAGCTCTGAGCTACGGAGAGGCCTTGAGCTAAGAACATGTCACAGAGTCAGTATGCAAGTTCTCATAACCAGGGCACAGGATAGGTCATTGGCTTGAGAAAGACAAGAGACTCGCTGACAGAGTACCTTCCCATTTGTGAAGCAAGAAGGTACTGGCAGAATGGGAAAATATGCAGACTGGAAGGTTGAGATGGCGCAGTGACTAAAAGTGCTTGTCATGCAAGCCTTGGGGACCTGAGTTCAATTCCTGTAACTTAGAGAGGGTAAAGAGACTCTTCTCCAGAAAGTTATCCTGGACATGCCCACATGCGAACTGCAGCACATGTGCCCCCCTCATCGTGCACACAATGACGAACGAACGAACGAGCGAACGAGCGAACGAACGAACGAATGAATGAATGATAGTGTCCTCGGTTGAGCCACAATGCGTAGGCCTTGCTAAGCTGTGTTGTTTCCTAGAATCCTCTGTAACGCGAAGGAAAGATAAACCGCGGTCTCACCCCCACTTTGCGTCTTGGGGACAACCAGGCTAGCCAGAGGTGGCCAGGAGCGACTTGAACCTCGTTCACTCAACCCCAAGGAAGCCCAGCGACAGTCCACCCGGGCCCAGAGCTCGCTGCCAATCATCCGGCAGGCCCCGCCCCACGCAGGCCGGTTTCCCACCTTCCCCGGCACGCGCAATCTCGTTTCCTACGTGCGCGCGCCTGCGCGAGCTGTGACGTGACGCTGGCGGGTGCGCGCAGCGTGCCTCCCGGAAAGGAGCGGAATCTCAGGGAAGCTGGTGGCCGGGATGCGGTGCCCTCGTGGCCGCCCGCCCCCCCGGAGCCGCGGCCCTCCCAGCAGGTGAGGCCGGAGTCCCGTGGAGCTAGGCAACGGGAGACCACGGCCCTGTCCAGCCGTCCCCGCCGCTACATCCGGGCGCCCCGCCGCAGCCCCGTGACCCCGGTGACAGGTGCTTGTCCCCGGACACCGTGCCGGGTCTCCGGAGCTCCCTGACCCCCTGGCGATTGTGGGCTCGGGGAAAATAGCTGTGGCTCCCGGGGCCGAGTGGCCCCTGCCTACCGCCCGATATCTGACCCTGACGCGTGGTAGCATCATGTATTTGCTCTGCGCTTTGGGGAAGTTTCCTGTTAGATATTCCCGTGGAAAAATGGAGATGATAGGGGGATAGAGTGGTGGTGCGCAGTTGTGTTTCTCAACTTGAGTCTTACGTGGATTCCTTTTAAAGGGACAAGTCTCCCCTTCGCAGGAATATAACCCCAGAACCCGCAGGGCGCCGCAGACCCCAGCTGGGTAAACACAAGTGCTGAGACCATTTGTCATTAGAAAACAAGAGATGCTTTGTAAGTTAAGACCTGCATGCTACACGGTAAACTAGAGGTCAATAACAATCCTCAATTAGAGATCAGTAACAATCCTCAATTCATCACCCGGTTAACGTTAGGTTGCCGTCTTTAATGTATTCAACTTTTGTGAGAGAAAATTACCAAAATTTCATCCTTAGAGGGCCCTGTATTGTATTCTGTGTTCGTCTGTATTGTGTTATGTTTTGAGTTGTCTTTGTATCTGGTTGCTAATTGTTTGGCATAGTTGCAGAACTGTGCTCATTTATACCAGTAGCTTGTTTTGTTTGTTTATCTTAGTGTTGATTTACCACCTATTTTGAAATTTACATGTGTATGAGTGGAGTGTGTGTGTGTGTGTGTACACGCACGCACGAGCGTGTGTACATTTCTCACGTGTCTAGGATTGAGAGGGCAACTTTATAAATATTCTAGGAAATGAACAAAAATAGTTAGGCTTGGACAGTGAATTACCTGCTGAGCCCTGTAGCCTACCACCTGTTTTTATTGCTCATTGAATTCATAGCTTACTTTCTTTTATACCTATCAGGAAACGTGTGATCTGAGACTTTGAAAAGAGACAAACATGGGAATTGATCTAAGGATCTGTCTTCTCTATGTATTTGTTCAGCATGTTTATGTAAAATAGGCTACATGTGAACCGTGAGATTTGGAGTGGGGGAAGACATTAGGAAGTGTAACAAACTAAATCTAGGGTTTAAAAAAATGCCCAGTGACCTTGAAAGATCTGTAATAGTGCAAGCAGGATGTGAGGAGGGAGTAGCATTATTAAAAGCTAGAGGCCAATATTAGAAGAGCCTGTGTAGAGCAGGCCTACCTTGCCAGAGCAGAGATATTGGGTGAGGCAAGAGCAGGCTGTTGATATAGTATCGGAACAGTTGATGGGTTGAGGATTTCAAGTGCTACACGGAGAGGCTGGTTATTGATCTGCAGGCTTTCAGGTTTTTCTCTGGTCATACTTTGAAGGGAGTGTTTCATAAAGAGTGTTGACAGGGAAGGCAGAGCGGCTTACCGCAAGGTCTGTCTTGAAGTAATGTTGTTTGCTGTGGTCACCCTAGATGTGTGGGATGCCCCATGAAGAACTGACAGGATCCTGGAGCTTGAGAGGTGGCAGAGTTGGTAAGGTGTTTGCTGTGAAAGTGTGAGGACCCAAGTTCAGATCCCAGCCAGCCCCGGGGGAGGATGGGGAGCAGGGGATGCTTGGAGCTCATTGGGCTCCAGCTGATGGGCTCCAGGTTCAGTGAGAGACCTTGTTTTAGAAATAAGTGGAGATTGACTGAGAAAGATGCCTGATGTTGACCTGGCCTACACACACACACACACACTTGCACGCATATGAACATACAGACACAGAAGAATTGACAGGAGTTACGAATGATGGAATGTTGGTACAGAAGTGCGACTCAAAGCTGAGGACCATGTAACCATTTTAGTGGTGATACCTGTCTTACACCTGGAGAATTCAGAAGTTGACGTATTTCACCCGTACTTGGCTTAACTGAGTTTAAGGTTTCACGACTTTGATAAACTAGATATGTGGACTTGGGACTGGAGGCAAATCATTCCTGGGGAGCTGGTGCAGGGAAAGTGTGGTCTGAAGAAGGCCGTTCAAAGTGGTGACCAGAATAGTACATGAGTCGTAGGTAGGAAAGGACTGACCAGGACTTGCTTGGTAAAAAGAGCATTTGATGAGTATAGGAGAACTAGGGAGCATGTGTGTCTTTGCACATCTTCAGGTTGCTTTGCTGTGCCTCTCACCAACAGCCGAGTCACTGCTGTGCAGCCGCCTTCTCTTCCAGTGTTTGCAACTGTTCAAGGCTCTCCTTTAGCCCTGTGATATCTAAATGATTCTGTTTTGAAGCCCTCTGTGCCATCTCAAGTTTTCTGGCTCAAAAGTTGGACTCTTGTAGACCCTAACTTGTATTTGATTGGTTGTATTCAAGGGCATTGTGATTACTGTCAGTTGTTAACTTGATTAGATTGAGAAATTAATAAGGCGTGGCACTTTCAGCCATGTCTGAGGGAAACATGGAGGGTTGACAGAGCGGGTTAGCCCACCCTGAATATGAGGTAGGAGACAGCCAGTTAGGGCTAGCTCAGCAGAATTTTCTTTCTGCTTCCTGACTGCCATGGTGTGTGCAGCTCTGGTATGACTTCTGAAACCATAGGCTAAAAAATGAGTCATTCCACTGTAAAACTTTCTCCCCGGTAATTATCACAGGGACAACGAGTCCAACTAACCCAAGTCCCATAACACTTGCTTACTCTGTCTGTGTTTTCTCCAAATAAGCTTCAAGGCTGATGTGTACCTTTTTTTTTTCCATGATGGATGAGACAGGGCTGAAGAGATAGATGGCTCAGCGGTGAAGAGCACTAGCTGTTCTTCCAGAGGACCAAAGTTCGGTTCCCTGCACCCATGTGGCAGCTCACATCTGTCTGTAACTCCAGTTCAGGGGATCTGACCCTCCCACAATATAATGGAGAGACTTAGCAAGAAATTGTCCCATTGCCCAGATGAGCTTAGTCTTAGCCACTGTTGTATTGCTGTGAAGAGATACCATGACCAAAGCAGGTCTTATAAAGGGAAACATTTAACTGGAGACATGGTTACAGTTTCAGAGGTTCAGTTCATTAACATCACAGCAGCACTTGTGGCACTGGAGCTGTAGCTGAGAGTTATATCCTGATCCACCAGCAGAGAAAGAGAGTCTGGGCCTGCCTTGGCCTTTAGAAACCTCAAAGCCATGCTCAGTGACACAGTACTCCAACAAGACCACACCTATTAATCCTTCTTCAATAATGCCACTCCCTAATGACTGAGCATTCAAATATATGAAGCTCATGGGAACCATTATTTTTGTTGTTGTTGTTCATTTTTTTAATTTATTTTTTACATCCCAATCCCAGTTCCCCCTCCCTCCTTTCCTCACAGTCCCTCCACTCCTCCCATCTGCTCCGTGGAGAGGGTAAGGTCTCCTCTAGGAAGTCTACTAAGTCTGTCCCATCATCTAGTTGAGGCAGGACTGAGGCACCTCTCCCCCATACTCCTGTGTCTAGGCTGAGCAGGGTATCTCTCCATATAGAATGGGCTATGGGAGCCATTCTTTTTCAGACTACCATAGGCTTTATTCCCTTAGTGATGTTTTGCTAGGAAGGACCCTGAAGCTAAAATCACAAATGTTCTTGCTCTCTGGTAATAGGTCTGATGCAATTTAGAACTTGTTTGAAACATGAAAGCATTATTAGGTGTTTGTCTGCCTGAGCTCTGGTGCCAAGATTCCTAGGTGCAGAGGCAGCAATTGGAATTTACATTTTTAAGGTCAGGTTACAGGGTTGTGACTTCTTGGCAACAGTCAGCCTTACGTGTGTCCTGAGTGAAAGTAATAAGTAATTTATGGGCTGTCCTTTTGGTCAAAATCCTCTCATACCTTAAAAGGAAGGTCCTGGGGATGAAGAGATTCAGTCACTCAGTGATTAGGAGTGCTTGCTGCTCTTCCAGAGAATTCGTAGTTCCCAGCACCCACATCAGGTGGCTCATCACCACTCCTGCTTCAAAGATTTGATGCCCTCTTCTGACTGCCACAGGCATGCACACACATATACATAAAGAAAAATAAAATAAATCTTTTTAAAAATAAGGTCCTAAGACAAATACCAGATGCCATAAAGTATGCTGAGATCCCTGGTAAGGTTGTCTTAAAAATGTATTCTCCTTTCTTCACCCCACCCAATTCTTCCCCACCTCTACTTCCTGTTGGCACCAGTCTCCTGGGCTCTGAGCTCTCGCAGCCAAGAGTCCATAGAATTAACATTGCTGTTAGTTGCCTTCTTCATCATTTCTTGGATATTAGTATTGTTGGAATCTGGTTTGTTAGTGCTTGTGGTTATGTTCATACTGCTGAGCCATTAATGGCTTTCCTTCTCCCATGACTAGTTTATGTTTAATAGAAGCTTTCGTCATTTTCTTTGGTTCTTAGCTCAATTGTAGAACACTGTCATTGATTCTTTTTTTAATTTTTTAATTTAATTTAAATTAGAAACAAGTTTGCTTCACATGTCAAACCCAGCTCCCTCTCCCTCCCCTTCTCTCCCACCCCCCTTGAATTGCAGTTCCTATGTCTTGGTTTGTTTTATTTATTTTCTTTTATGTCGATGAATGTTTTCCGTGCATCTCTGTCTGCTCTACATGCTTTCCTGATGCCAACAGAGGTCAGAAGAAGTCAAAAGCATTGGATCCTCTGGAACTGTAGTTGCAGATAGTTGTGAGCCATCATGTGGATGCTGGGACTAGAACCCAGGTCCTCTTCAAGGGGAACAAGTGCTCTCAGCTGCTGAACCATCTCTCTAGCCCTTGTCTTGATTTTTTAAAAAGTAATCTTTCTTTATATTTCCAAAAGAGGGAAGGCATCAGTCACAGAAGCTTTTCAAAAGTAATTCTATAGTTTGTTCTGTTGATGAAATTAATATATGCACCTTGAAAGCATAGGCAGGTCTAGGGAAAAAAGTACAGATGGTCATGTATCTGATTGCCACTCAGAAATAAGCAGCACTGTTAACATTTTGTCTTTGATGTGTCTTCTCTGTGTGGTAAAATGTTCTCATTTATATATGGTGGTACTCTTGCCACATCAAGTAATAGTCTTATCTTGTTCTATTGTGTAAGTGTGCCCTCACCTTCTGCTTGTATAATGCTGGGAAGGATCCCAGGCTCTTGCATATGGAAGGCATACATATACATACACACACTCATCCACTGAGTGACATCTTCATCTCTGCAGTGGACATTCAGGAAAAATTTTTATACCTATTTTAGTCAGATTTTCCTTATTTCCAAGGGTAAGTTTCTAGACATATAAACATACCTATAAACACTGAACCTGTCTACATATGTCACACAAATGCCTCTAGGTTATTACCTTCTCATTTTCTAGCCAACTATACTTTATGACCCCGACTGCTTACCTCTAAAACGTCTATGAGTGTCAGGTCTTGTCTTCCTTCTGTCTGTCTGCACTCTGCACACCCCTGAAGTCGCATCATTTCTCATGTTAACTTCAGTTACCCTTGCCTATTTTTGTGTTAGTGCATTTCTTTTATTACTTCATAGGAATGTTTTATAAATAAAGAATGGTTACCTTTTATGTAAAAAATGTATTACTTTTAATTATGTGTAGGTGTATATGTCTGCATGTGGATATGTGTACATGAATGTGGGTGGCTTTGGAGGCTCCAACCTTCAGAACTCTGGGCATAAGACCCCTGGAGCTGGAATTAGAGATACTTACTTCCATGTGGGTGATTGGGATTGAATCTGGGTCCTCTGGAAGATTAACCAGAGCTCTTAACAACTGAGCCATCTCTCCAGCCTCAAAAATGTTACCTTTTGTCTCAAGTGGTACAAGTTATCTTCCTAAACTATGTGTGTTTGAAAAAGTGTGTTATTGTTTTACATACAGAAGGTTTAAAATTGTATTTTCTCTCTTTTGTGGTTTGAGACATTGCTATCATTTGGAGAAAGGCCTTAATTTTTTTAATATTATGTCAATATTTGCTTATATTATCACCTTTCCTTTTAATGGATATTTTAAATATTTAAATCTTTAGGGCATTAAATTTCTAACCACATTAAAATGCTTTAAAAGAGTCAGCTGAGAGTCCCATGTGGCATGCATTCTGTAGAAGGAGTCAGGCACAAGAAGAATGAAGACACCACACGCAGAGTGTTAGAGGACAGGACAGCAGTGTGACTCACACACTTGAATCCCAGCCCCACCTCTTTGCTGCGTCTGTAAAACATCACTGTAGCATTCCCTACCCGGGGGGGTGTGGGGAGACTGAATAACCGTGAGCCTTTGGAGCACAGCCTGAGCACAGTGAGCACTCTTGTGGGTATTTAGCAAAGAAGTAAATGCTACGTATGCCAGGTGTGGTGGCACATGTCATTAATATCAGCATTTGGTATCTACAAAGTGAGTTTCAGGACAACCAGGGCTGTGTAGAGAGACCCCGTCTCAAAAAACAAACAAAAACACCACAAAAGTAAATATTAAAGGAGAAATATCAAGGATGAGAGCGGAGTGGAAAGTAATGTATTTACTGATCCCTAAGAAGGTGACATTGAGTAAAGATCTGAGAGAAGTAAGGATTGCTCCAAGCAGAGGGTTGGGAGGCCGCAGGCCAGAGCGAGTGACTGCTAGAAGTTGGTGGGGGCTGCCAGTGCAGCTGGAATGCTGGGTAAAAGAAAGGAGAGCAGCCGATGATGTCAGAGCAGAGAGGAGAGCAGCCAATGATGTCACAGCAGAGAGGAGAGCAGCTGATGATGTCAGCAGAGAGGAGAACAGCTGATGATGTCAGAGCAGAGAGGAGAGCAGCTGATGATGTCAGAGCAGAGAGGAGAGCAGCTGATGATGTCAGAGCAGAGAGGAGAGCAGCTGATGATGTCACAGCAGAGAGGAGAGCAGCCGATGATGTCAGAGCAGAGAGGAGAGCAGCTGATGATGTCAGAGCAGAGAGGAGAGCAGCCGATGATGTCACAGCAGAGAGGAGAGCAGCTGATGATGTCAGAGCAGAGAGGAGAGCAGCTGATGATGTCACAGCAGAGAGGAGAGCAGCCGATGATGTCAGAGCAGAGAGGAGAGCAGCTGATGATGTCAGAGGAGAGCAGCTGATGATGTCAGAGCAGAGAGGAGAGAAGCTGATGATGTCACAGCAGAGAGAAGAGCAGCCGATGATGTCAGAGCAGAGAGGAGAGCAGCCGATGATGTCAGAGCAGAGAGGAGAGCAGCTGATGATGTCACAGCAGAGAGGAGAGCAGCTGATGATGTCAGAGCAGAGAGGAGAGCAGCCGATGATGTCAGAGCAGAGAGGAGAGCAGCTGATGATGTCACAGCAGAGAGGAGAGCAGCTGATGATGTCACAGCAGAGAGGAGAGCAGCCGATGATGTCACAGCAGAGAGGAGAGCAGCCGATGATGTCACAGCAGAGAGGAGAGCAGCTGATGATGTCACAGCAGAGAGGAGAGCAGCTGATGATGTCACAGCAGAGAGGAGAGCAGCCGATGATGTCACAGCAGAGAGGAGAGCAGCTGATGATGTCACAGCAGAGAGGAGAGCAGCCGATGATGTCACAGCAGAGAGGAGAGCAGCCGATGATGTCACAGTAGAGAGGAGAGCAGCTGATGATGTCACAGCAGAGAGGAGAACAGCCGATGATGTCAGAGCAGAGAGGAGAGCAGCCGATGATGTCACAGCAGAGAGGAGAACAGCTGATGATGTCAGAGCAGAGAGGAGAGCAGCCGATGATGTCACAGCAGAGAGGAGAACAGCCGATGATGTCAGAGCAGAGAGGAGAGCAGCCGATGATGTCACAGCAGAGAGGAGAACAGCTGATGATGTCAGAGCAGAGAGGAGAGCAGCCGATGATGTCACAGCAGAGAGGAGAGCAGCTGATGATGTCAGAGCACAGCATCTAGCCAGATCCCGCAGTGCTGGAGTCACAGGAAAACCTTCAGTGTTTGTTTGAAGAGCTTGGGGCCACTGGAAGATTTGGAGTCCTGACCTGTTGTGGCCTGAGTGTTTCAGCCTTAGGCAAAGAATCTCTGCCCATGGTGTCCTGGTGACAGGAAGTGGTGTCAGGAAGCACTGGAGAGTCCCAGTGGAAACTTGAGGGAGAAGACAGTGCAGATAAGAGCAGAGAGCCTAGCCTAGAATCATAAGAAAGGGACAGGTTTTCGGTAAGCAGGAGTTGAGGGAAGGACTCTGGAAAGTTGGATGGGCACGATAGTGATACTGGAGATGAGAGGAGCCTGGAGTGAGAAGCAGGGCAGAGAGAGGAGTGGCCGGGATGACAGAGTGGGAGTGCAGTTTAGACGTGTGGATCAAGGTCTGTGCAGCACCTAGATGGAGATCCTGGCGATTGAAGGATGTGCACAGGAGCCAGAAAAGGAGTTGGATGGAGGAAACAAGTTATCTAGTAAGTGTTCTGGTTATGAAGCTGAGCCAGAGGTATTAGATTAAGAGGGAGAGGAATTCGAGTAGGAATGATTATGTTAGGAGAGAATGGAGCCTAGGCAGAACTCTGGGGGACTCAAGAACAGACAGCTTTGGTACAGAGCCAAGGATCCCCAACAGGATCCCAGAGCTGAGAAGCCGACTAGGCTGTGGAAGGCCTAGAGGCCCCAGGAGGTAAAGGAGGAGAACTTTGAAACCATCTTGAGGCTCCAGCAGCTTGGAACGACTCCCTGGCTTTGTGACATGAGGGCTGAGACCTGGAGGAAGAGTGGGATGATGGTAGGAGTGGAGCATTGTCAGGGACAGGATACCTCACACTGTACTTTGTACATTAAAGCAAAGTCTATCAAAGTATTCTATCAAATGAATATGTGCTTCCAATTGAGTTAGTTGAGTTAGTCTGCTTATTCCGCACCTCTCCAAATCTTCCTTAACATCTCAGTGCTATAATTATTTCATTCCCTGAAGTTTTGAGATTACAGGGACGTTTGGAGTAATAGCTTGCTTCAAGCTCTTAGCATCTCTTGATTGAGGCCTATATCTCTAGCAGCATGAAATTGATGTACAAGCGTGCTGCTCTAACCCAGAAGTCTCCACATAGGGATGGCAGTCAGATGATGTATGGCTGAGTTTAAGCATGTACTTCGTAGCACCATAGACATTTTATTTGGTTGCACTGTTCTTGATTTTTCTCACCCTGAAACAGGGGGGCTCTGACTCCATGAAGACCCCAGCTCTGATTCTGGCCTTGTGGATGACAAGAGGTGACTCCCACAGCATTGCCTGGTCCTCGGCCTTCCAGTATGGGGAGGTGAGTGATGGGCTTCGTCTCTTGCCATAAACCCTGAGATTTTGATGTGAAGAAATGGATCTTACGAGGGAACAAAATCTAAACCGCACGTGAGAAGTGCTTGAAGTTGTGTTAGACTAGTCTAAAACCATTGCTGTTACAGAGCCCATTGGGGCGCTTGTCAGAGAAAGAACATAACCAGATGAGCTCTGCAGAGGTTAGCATAAATTGCAGTCTAGACCTGCACATTGACATCTTAGAATGTTCTGTTAGCACAGGATGGCTGTTTAGAGCCTCTGAGGTACAGAATAGGGAGACACATGCTACAGAGTGTCCTCAGAACTCCTGTGAAAGGAAACAGTTTCCAGTGGGTTGGCAGTGTATCTCCTTCAGTGAAGGGTTTTAGCCCGTGAAGTACTCTTTAAAAGAAAGATAGAAAGCTGGGCGTTGGTGGCGCACGCCTTTAATCCCAGCACTCGGGAGGCAGAGGCAGGCGGATCTCTGTGAGTTCGAGGCCAGGCTGGACCGACAGCCTCCAAAACAGAGAAACCCTGTCTCGTAAAAAACCAAAAAAAAAAAAAAAAAAAAAAAAAAAAGAAAGAAAGATAGAAGCTAGGCGGTGCTGGCGCAAGCCTTTAATCCCAGCACTTGGGAGACAAAGGCAGGTGGATCTCTGTGAGTTCGAGGCCAGTCTGGTCTACAAAGCTATACAGAGAAACCCTGTCACATAAAAACAAAAAACAAAACAAACAAAAAAACCCAAAGAAAATATGAAACAATGAAATTTACCCTAAAGGCAGTTCCTGCTGATGGCTCTCCAGTTGCCTCTTTTTCATGACATAAATTGAAACCCTTCCTGTTTATAAAAGATGTCTCAGAGGACTCTTTCTAAAATCAGAGTTCCCCTATTAATTTTGTTATGGTGATACTGTCTTTCCCATTACTGGATCATCAGGGAGAATTTTACTTCAGAATCGCTTGTTAAGAAAATTTCGCTTCTCCTAAGCCATTGACTCATTAATGTACAATGTTTCATCCATTAGGCTGCTGGTGTTTGTGGGATAGCTTACAGCATGTTGTTTCTGTATCCTCAGTCTCCCCTTGGTGTCCTCATCCTTAAGCTGGATTTCATTATAGATTTATGTGTTTATCTGGCTAAACTTATGAACTGGGATTTCTTTTTGGAAAAAAAAATATGATATTTTTGTAATACTCCCAAGAAAAGGGAGATGTACCAGAATACCATACCCAATAGGCAGGCTGTCACTCTCATTATTTCATTTTATAATAATGTGCTCTATAACCAGACAGCAACCTGGAGCATGGTAAGTGCAGGCAGCAGCAGACAGGAAGCAGGGAGAGCTTGTGCTGATCACTGGTTCAGGTGAGGTCAGGTCTCTCCAGTCATGCTGTTGTAAAATCTGTTTCTTTGGAATTTCAGGATTGGTATTTCCTGTCTCTTTCCTGCTTCTTGGCACTTTAGCATCTCTCCAGTGGGCTGTCCTCGAATTCTGAATACCAGTTTACGCCAGATCATCGTCATTAGCATCCTGGCTGCAGCTGTCTCCCTCTTATACTTTTCCGTTGTCATAATTCGCAGCAAGTATGGGTGGCTTTCAAGGGACAAGAAATTCCAAAGGTAAGAGATAAAGACTTGTTCTAGAAGGAATTCATACCTGCTGGCTGACTGTTCCAGTGGCTATAACAGAACATGGGACAGCTTATATAAGCCGCAGAAGTCCAGGAGCTAGGTAACAGTAAAGTGTGTATCTGCTGAAGGCTGTGTTCCAGCTCACATGGTGGGAAGGGGTGGGGTAGCTCTGAGGTCTCCTTCCTCCCGATCTGACCCCCTCCTAGGATATAGTGCTGCACTAGTGGTTAGACTCTCAGCAAACCGACAGAGGGACAGGGACAGTCAGCTCTGGCCCATTGTGTTCTGGCTGGACTGGCATATAAGGAGCATGTGACGGTAGGAACTGGACCTATGCTGACTACCTGCTGATAAATTAGGAAGTGCCTGGCAGCTGACCACAAGGAAGGCCCTGGGACAGTCACACAGTCAGGGGCTCCCTCTGTCTGTTGTAAGCTGGGTTCTGAGTTAATGTTTGTACTTCAGCAGTCTTCTCTCTGGAGCCTGTAGCTGTATTAAGGAGAGGTAAGCAGGGACCTGAATTAGAGGTTCCCTGTGGGCACCCCATGTTTGGTCTTCTTTTGACTCATCAACTAGCCATAGAAGGCATGCCAGAGAGAGGTCATTACGTAACATGGAGGTCACTGATGTGCTTCTGCAGATTGCCTTCTCTGTTAGAGCACGGTGATGCTCTGTTTAAGTGACAACGCTTGTGTGTTTCTAACAAGGTACTTGGCCCGAGTCACAGACGTTGAGGCTACAGACACCAACAACCCCAACGTGAACTATGGCATCGTGGTGGACTGTGGCAGTAGTGGGTCTCGGATATTTGTCTATTGCTGGCCTCGGCACAATGGCAATCCTCATGATCTGCTGGACATCAGACAGATGAGGGACAAAAACCGAAAGCCGGTGGTGATGAAAATTAAACCCGGTACGGGATAAGAATGGCTGAGGACTGGAACCGGGGCCTGGGCTCCAGTGTCCTGTGGTGCCACTCACCTCCTCCCTCACTCCACCCTGCCCAGCCTGCTTCTGAGTTCAGGACAGGGCCCGTGGCTGCCTCTGTTCCCCCTTCCATTGCTATGGTGTGTGTGACCAACTTCTTGATCAAACCTCACAACCTGTCTTTTTCACCGCCTGTGGCCATCTTCACGGTAGCCCCATGATGTCTGCTCACATGCTAGTTAACACTGTTACAGAGGTTTTGTTCGTTTTTCCTATTATGTAGCTCTTCCTTAAAGACAGACATTTTCTATAACTCTTCACAATCTGTACTTTAAATATTAGCATTTTATTTGTTTAAATATTGGTATGTATTAGTGATTTTTAACAAATTACTGCCCAGATATCTATCTTCCTTCCTTCCCCACCCTCTTTCTCTCTCCTCTTCCCTTCCCTCCCTCCCTTGTCCCTTTCTCTCTTCTTTTATGGTTGTGGCATTGACCCTAGGAGTCGCATATGTTAGACAAGTGCTCTACCATCAAGCTATATCCCCAACACTCTTTCTTTTTGAGATACCCAGGCGGACCTCCAGCTTTAGGTCATGAAACTCCACTTGCCCAGATGTATGTCTTAGATTCTAGACTATTTATAAGGTTAACCTTGAGACTTAAAAAGAGTGAGGGTAAATACACCCAGTTTTTAAAGATAGCGAAATCAAGACTTGGCTTCCTCACTAAATGATTTAAGCAGCAGTCTCCACTCTTGTCAGGATCTCCACCTTGCCCATGATTGGCACCATGTCAGAAGCCTTGGGAATGGATAGTCTTCAAATGAGCCGTCCCATGCCCGGTACTTAAGAAGATCTGATTTAAAAGAGTAGGCTTTCATCTCTCACTAGTGCAGACTGTGCAGTGTATGTATCCTTTTAAATGTCAGAGAGAGACAGGGAAATGGTAAGTGTTCAAAGAGATGGACATGCTGGTTCCACCGTTGCTCATTTCACATTGTGTTCATCGATCTGACCATCACGTCACATACCCCATAATACAGATGATTGTAATATGACATTCAAAGTTTAAAATAGAACACTCATAAGTAATAGCCAGTATAGCTCATTACCTACCATCTGAGAAGTATAAATAACACCTGTGGGTTTCCATAAACAAAGATTTTAATATTTAAGTAGTAACTTTCAATTTTCCATTATTCCCTCCCTTAAGATTGTATGCATGCTTAATAGAGAATCATCTCCAGGGTTAACATAATATTGCTCATATAAAAATTTACCAGGAGACTCAGAACTAAAATCAGTAAAACACTTTGCCTTTCACCAAGCCTCACGTGACAGCTTCCAGCACTAGCTGCACACCTCCACGGAGAGGGATGAAACTCATGTCCTCAGGGAGGTGTGTGTTAGGACCTCAGTCACAGCAGGCTCAGCATGGTTCTGCCCCACAGGGTGGATCAACTGAGCTATACTGCCTCATTGAAGTGTACGCTAGCTTGGTTCAGTCTGGCTTAGAGCATAGCGCTTGCCCAGGTGGACATCGGTGTGCCTTTTATAGCAGTGCTTTCTTCACTCCTAGTCTCCCAGTATTAATATAAGCAAGGCTCTAAGCATTTTAAAAATAGATTCTGGTTAGTTTGGGATTTGGTTTTCCACTGAAATAGCTCTCTGCAGAGTCAAAAAGTTTGCCTTTTACTCCATTTTCTGCTGATTCCTTTCACGTACCATCTTTCTGGGTCTGCGGTTCTCTAATGTGTGAAGTAAGAAATTGCGGAACTTCTCAGGTTCCCATTGTTTTGATATTGTAGGTTCAATGACAGCTGTACATACTCATTTACTTATTAAACAGATGTGTTTATTTATAATGTGAGTGTGCCTGAGTGTATGTATGTTTACCACATATATGTACATTCTTAGAGAAGCCAGAGAGGGCATTGGAGCCCCTGGATCTGGTGTTACAGATGGTTGTGAGCCACCATGTGGGTGCTGGGAACCAAACCTAGGTCCCTTGCAAGAGCAGCCAATGCTCGGTGTAACTGTGGAGTGATTTCTCCAGCTCCCACTCACTTTTAGTAATAAACATTGAACAGATGTTCCTGGGTACCTCCACTTGCCAGGCACTATTAGGTGCCGGGATATGAACTAAACAAGACATAGTGTGTGCTCTTGACCAGTTGTAATCAGACTGGTAAGTAAGCAGTTTGGTGGGTTGAATAGAGAGATAGATGGCAGCAGGGTGAGCACAGGCTGTAAGGAAAGCTAGTCTCCATCGGGGTTCTACTGAGTAAGACTTCTGTGGAAGAAGGAGCTGAATAGACATGCATAAGCTGACTGGGTAAAGGCGGTAGTGGATGAGAAGGATTTTTCTGCTGAAGACTCAGAGGCCTGAAGGCCACAGTAGGTTACATTGCAGACATGTTAGTTCAGTGCTTTGAGGTGAGAGGAAGGGACTTGGGAGGAGACAAAAGGTGGGCAATGGTGTGAGTAGCTGTGTATCTCTAAGTTGAGTTTGTCTGGGTTGGTTAGAGGAGGTGTAGAAGGGGTTAAAAGCAAAAGGAAGCATCCTTGGAGTAGGGGACCCGTGGAGCCTGGAAGGTAGTTGGTTATACTGGGCCAGCAGCAGATGGTGGTGTCCAAAGAAACAAGGAGAGTAGAAGTAGAGCAAGCAGCAGAAACAGGTGCAGAACGCGCGTCATGTTCTGGGTGTCTGAGGACACGCAGTGGCTGTGTGCATTAGACAGTCACTGTGAAACAGGCAAAACCAAGAGAATGCAGAGTGAAGCTTGGATTTCTCCCAGATTGAGCATACTGAAGAAATTTACTCTTAGCTCCACCATGTCCCTGCTGAGCAGACTGTCCCTCTCTGCAGGTATCTCAGAGTTTGCTACCTCTCCAGAAAAAGTCAGCGATTACATTTCTCCACTTCTGAACTTTGCTGCAGAGCATGTGCCACGGGCAAAGCACAAAGAGACACCGCTCTACATTCTCTGCACAGCCGGAATGAGAGTTCTTCCTGAAAGGTGATCTTCCGCTGCCTGGAGGGTGTCCCAGGGAGGGTGTCCCAGGGAGGGTGGCCTCACTGCTCTCCTCTCTTCACCGTCGTCGTCGTCGTCATCATCATGGCACTGAAAGTCCTTTCTTGAGTCTGGACTAGTCTCAAAGTTATTCTCATAGACAGAATAGTAGAGCTTTTAATCTACTTATCTCTGATTAAAATTATAAGGGTAACTTTGCCGGGATTGGCGACAGAGTCTCATAACAAGTCTTTCTCTGTCCTGCCATCCAGCTCCCAAATAGTAACACAAAGACTTCTTATTAATTGTGAAAGCTTGGCCTATATCTTAGGTTTGTTCTAACTAGCTCTTATAACTTAAATTAAGCCATTTCTATTAATCTACATTATATCGTGTGGTGTTACCTCACTTCCATCTTGCTCCCCCGTTTCTTCTCCATGTCTCCTGTGCGCCTAGATTCCTCTTCCTCTCTCTTCCTGGAAATCCACCTATACCTCCTGCCTCGCTGTTGGCCCTTCAGCTTTTACTACACCAATCACACCTCCACACAGTGTACAGATATCCCATAACAGTTTCGTGTCCCAGGTTGGCCTCAAAGTAAACATGTAGTTGAGTTTGAGTTTCCAGTCCTTCTGTCCACCTCCACCTCCTGAGTGCTGAGACTCTGGGCTTACACACCAGGTCCAGTTTACACAGTACTGGGGTGGAACTTGGAGCCTGGTGCATGCTGGGCAAGCACTCTACCCACTGAGTGAAGAACCGCATGATTCAAGTAACCATTTCATTTGGAAAGAACATTCCTGAGATAAGCAATCTTTTCAATGAATCACTTAGTTTTACAATTAACTATTTCATATAGGATATAGCAGAGTCACAAGTTTTTGTTGTTGGTGTTTTCAAAACAAAAAATCAAGCATATGGTTTTGACTTGTAAATTTTGGGATTGCCTTGAAGCCAGCAGAAAGCCATCCTGGAGGACCTCTTGACTGACATCCCTGTGCATTTTGACTTCCTGTTTTCTGACTCCCACGCTGAAGTCATCTCAGGGAAACAAGAAGGTTGGTACCAGGCCCTCACTTTACACAGAGAGGTTGCTCCTTCAGAGGCTCCTCCCCCCACTGTGCATCCTATTGAATCAGTGCACTGGCAACCATAGCTTTGAGATTCTCTTAAATGACTGGGCAGTCTTTATTATATAACCCTAAAGCTGTTAAACATACCTCATCTGTTCTTACTACATTTAGGGACTGTATTTGAACAGACTGATAGAGGAAGTCTGTGTTCCTTACCTGGCTGATAAAGTGTTCTAGGCCATGAACTTACTTCCAGCAAGGAGAAATTCCTGCTTTTGGTAAACTGAGAAAATATTAGTTATGTTTTAGAGAAATTATCCCACTTGAGTAAGAAATGACCAGTGAAATGGTTTGTTAGAAGCAGAGACCCAGAAGTACGTTATCTATTCCTATGTCACTTACCACTCTGTCAGGTATCCCTATGGAAAGGCATCGGGAAATACAGAATTGGCCTCATCAGCAACGAGGCCCTTACAAAGATGGCCCTCAGAATTGTAAGAGGTCACTTTTGGTACCCAAAGGAAGATATAGGAAAAATATCCTGGGAGTGTGAAAGAGAAAAGTCTCTCTCCCTCCCCCTGCCTAGCTAGGAATGGTTCTAAGTGGGACCCTTGGAAAGGGAGCAGGGGAAGTTACCTGAGTAGGTGCAGGAAGCATGGTCCAGTTAAAAGACATGATCACTATTACTGCAGGTGAGAAGAGATGCCACTGTGGATCGGCACGGGTTTTCACTTAGCTGGATCGTGGCTCTGTGGAAGGATGGTGGTGCTTTTGAAAGCTGGAAACATCTTGAATTATCAGCCTGTTACTTTGTACCTTGTATTGTGGACCAACCCAACAGGATAGGATAGAGGAGGTTGCCTTGGAAGACTGATTAGCTTGTCACCTCCACTGCGTAATGGCACAAGTCAAAGTGGCAGTGAAAATGGATAAAAATTGGCTGTAGGGAATGCTGACATGTATAGGCTGAGATTTGGCTGCTGTGTGGGTGAGAAAGATACAGGAAAGATTAGGGAAAATTAGCATGGAATCCCTGTAGAATTTATATTCTCAACAGAAACACCTGATGTAAGTATTAAAATTGAGAGTTCTTCTAACACCACTAGGAGAAGACAAAATGTCGGTAGATGTTTGGTGATTCTGTCTCCAGGCTGTCAGGGGTTAAATTAAATAAGAAACTTGCACAGACCAAATTGATTAGAGATTTAAAACTTAATTTTTCTTAATTATACTCTGCAATGTCTAGGTGTGTATGCTTGGATCGGCATTAATTTTGTCCTCGGACGGTTTGAGCATATTGAAGAAGGTAAGTGCCATGTTTCCACTAGTGTTCTGGCTGGAAGTTACAACCATAATTTATGTTCAAGGGCAGAAAAGCAGTTAGTGCTGCGAGATGGCTGAGTGTGTGGAGTTGGGCGAGCAGAGCTGCTGTCTAAACTACTGTTGAGCTCATCGGGAGGATGCACTGGGTGGTCTTCAGAGCAGATGGGGCCTCCCGAGGCGTCTGCTGAGTGGACACTTCTTTCTGCAGATGATGAGGCGGTTGTGGAAGTCAACCTTCCCGGTAGTGAGAGCAGTGAGGCCATCGTCCGGAAAAGGACAGCCGGTATTCTTGACATGGGAGGCGTGTCCACTCAGATAGCATACGAAGTCCCCAAAACTGTAAGCTTTGCCTCCTCACAGCAGGTTATTATCTGTACAAATTGCCTTCTGTTTGGTTCCATTTTCATTTAACATGTCTCCATCCATTTTTGTTTTGTTTCCTGAGTCTGAACACATCCTTACTCTGCTTGCTGAGGTTCCATCTTCTCAACCCAGGAGGAAGGAGGCTGGAGAATGAGGCAGGCCTCAGCCAAGCACATTACGTTTGTACATTTAAGCCTAGCTGGTTTGTTTTCTGAACTTAGAGTTTTTCTCTGGTGTATATGTCAGTCACACGCATTGTTTTCCCCAAAGTAAGGATCATGTACCAACCAGGTGGTGGTGTAGTATCAGGCTTGGAGTGGCAAAAGCCCACCAGGCAGCATCGCCCTGTTCCTCCTAGCTGTGTGACCTCATGCAAGTCCTATAACTCCTGTGAGCCATTCTTTTCTGAAAAATGCAAACAATAGTCCCTATAGCATGGAGTTACTGAATGGTTGATGGGTGACACGCAGTTCCCTAGTGTGTGCTCAGGAGGTTTTATTGCTGTCTTTCTCAAGTCCTTGGAAAAGTGCTTTAGAAATTCAAGTATTTGAGCCTGTGATGTTACTTCCCATTTCAGATACGCCTCTAGAGACTACTACCCTTGTTTTCTCCCTTCATTGTAAAGTACCAAGTACTCCCAAAGAAAGCTTAGGGCAAATAGAATAATAGAAATTCCCCCTGGATTCACCATTATTAAAAGAAAGCATTGTTGGTGTTTTGGTGAAGTTCTTTCCATTATTTTTATTCCTGTTATAGTGTCAACATGGGTTGTGTGATTTTGTGCCTTTTATTTACAGTTCATGGTGTGTCTATAAACTAGTATTGGTTACTGCCATTAACTTAACCCTCCCTTAATGTTGAGTACTCGGATGCCATTCTTTTTAGAGTCTTTCTTCTTCTTCTTCCTTTTTTTTTTTTTTCCAAATAAATGTGTCTTTGTGTATCAGGACTTTCTGTGTTGGGGTCTGTTTCCTCAGTAGGGGGTACCATAATTAGACTTATGGGTCAGAGGAGAGGACTGACTTCCTCTCAGAAAGCCCTTGACATCCCCACGTGCAGCATCTCCATTTCCCCTAGTTAGAACCAGCATACTGAATTATGAAAGTGCCCGAGCATCCTTGGGAGGTAGACAGAATCTGCTGTTCTTAGATGTAACTCTTTTTAGACCCTTCTTTTTTAACTGGAGTTGAAGTTGCTTTAAAATACTAAAATGTGTTGTCCTTGTGCCTACAGGAGGAAGTAGCTAAAAACTTGTTAGCTGAATTCAACCTGGGGTGTGATGTCCACCAGACTGAGCATGTGTACCGAGTCTACGTGGCCACATTTCTTGGGTTCGGTGGTAATGCTGCTCGGCAAAGATATGAAGACAGACTGTTTGCCAGCACAGTTCAGAAAAACAGGTACAGCAAGCAACTCCAGGCCTAGCTCACTCCTCATCAAAACTAGATCAAGGCCAAGTATCTTCTATTACCTGCCACTGTGCTGGAAGGATTGAGCCCACCACCCCACTCACATCCCATCGTTGTGTGTGCTTGCAAATTCTCTCCCTCTCTAGCTCTCTTTCTCTCTGTCTACCTGTACCATGATGGCAGGTACCATCATACCTAGTTTAAGTGTGCGTGCGTGCGTGCGTGCATGCGTGCGTGCATGCGTGCGTGCGTGTGTGTGTGTGTGTGTGTGTGTGTGCGCGTGCACGCGTGTGTGTTTCTTGTTTTCTGTTTTTGTTTTTCAAGACAGGATTTCTCTGTGTAACAGCCATGGCTGTCCTGGAGCTTGCTTTATAGACCAGGATGGCCTTAAACCAGGTGGATCTCTGTGAGTTTGAGGCTAGCCTGATCTACATGGTTTCAGACCACCCAGGGGTACATAGCAAGACCCGTCTTAAAAAAAAAAAAACAAAAAAAAACAGTGTTTAACTGTATAGCAATTACTTATTGAACTATGCCCATCAGAAAAAAAGTGTTTCACTGTATAGCAATTACTTAATGAACTATGCCCATCAAAAAAAAAACCAGTCTTTCACTGTATAGCAGTTACTTAATGAACTATGCCCATCAGCACGGGAATGGTTTGGAAGCAGAAGAACAGCATCTGGCAGGTGAGACGCCTTGCTCTTCCTGCATCTGATTTGTGGGTTTTCATAGAACATTTGTAAGAAATGCTGATTACAGAGCTAAGTAGTAGTATATTTCCATGGTCAATTTAATCCTTTTCAAAAATTTTATTAGCTGTTTTTATGTGTGTGGGTTTTTGCTTGCATGTATGTCTATACATCATGTGTGAGGTCAGAAGAGGGCGTTAGATTCCTGGAACTGGAGTTACAGATGGTTGTGAGCTGCCATGTGACTGCTAGGTCTTCTGGAAGAGCAACCAGTGCTCTTAACCACTGAGCCACCTCTCCAACCCTGATCAATTTTATCATAATATATCCATGAAGACCTAAACTTAATAAAAACCAAGTTGGAGCTACTTGTTATAAGTTTGCCCAGAATTTATGTCCATAGGTAGGAAGTAATTCTCTGATTACTTTAAAAGCTAATTGAGAAATGTTAGTTACAATAGCAGTAGTTCCATGGTGCTTGCTTTTTGTTTTAAAATTATGTCTAGAAAATTTTGTTATAATTATTTTTATAATAGTCTTAGACTTTTTAAAATAGAATCTTTTAAATTTGAATCTTTCATAGATTTACTCAACACTTTCTCTGACTCCTGAGTTCTACTAGTTGGGTTTTATTACCAATTTAAAAGATGTAGATAGATGTAGGACAGCTGAAACAGTAGTGCCAGATACACACTTCTCTGCTCAGAATTCCTGATAATTATAAGCATGTTGTTAACTGAGCTTTGAAACTCAGACCTATTTCTGCAACTCACAGTGGTGATGCATTTCTTTAGAGTCCATAGTTTTGTGGCCAGGTCCTTTATTGATTGCACTCAAGTCCATTATGAATAGCCCTGATGTAAGGAATGCACAGCCTGATAGAAGAGACTGTCAATGAATGGGAGTGACTCCAGCAGTATTCAGTTCCTAACAGTTCGTGGTATCCAGCACGAACACTTCCATTTTCAGAAGTTTGGTTTTCTGTTTACTGATCACTTGAATATGCACACACAATGGGAGGACAAGAGTTAATTTACAGGGCATCTCTTTGGGATATGTCAAGCCTGGTGTATCTCAGGCACAATAAGACTAACAGGGCTCCTCAGAGCCTGTAGTGCAGCAAAAACAGCTACTACCTACTGCCATCTAGGCCAATAGTTGAGTAATAACAACAACAATAATACTACCTGCTGCCGTCTAGGTCAGTAGTTGATTGATGGTGATGATGGTGGGCATAGTAAAATCAGATGAAGAGACCCAAGCCTTACACATTGTGTTTTTGCTCCCACATTCAATGGGTGATCTTTGGCTATGAATTCCTGGACTCCATCCATCTTTTCCTGCACACTGCATCTTCACTGAACTATCTGTCAGTTTGGCTTTATTTAAAGAATAGCAGCAAGATAAAGACATTTTGCCAAGCAGTTTGGCACCACCTCTTTCTAGAATTTATTTTCTCCCAGTTTTCTAATCTTCCACACATGTCTAATAATAGCTTTCTAGCAATGTTTGTGTATATTGTTTTTCTGAAACATCCAACCTGGTTTTCTAGGGCCAGTTACTTCTTTTCACAGTCACCAGCTCTATACAGTTAAAGTCAAGTACAAAGTAGTTGCAGGCTCCTCAGCAGAATCCTATCTGTATTGAAGGGAATTGAAAGCATCAGGTCAGGCCCTGAGATGGTTCTGTGGCTAAATGCACTTGCCGCTCAAGCCTGACAACTTAAGTTTAATCCTTGAGACCCACTTGTAGAAGGAGACAACCAGCTTCTGCAAGTTGTTCTCTGATCTCCACACACATGTGGTGCATACACACAATAAATAAATGAGTCAGGCCATGGCTTGCTATGTGGACTCAGCAATACCTGTGTGTGTGATTATGGATCTCCTCAAGACGATTGGGTGACGACTTTCCTAACTTGGTTTGGAACCCTTTGTGTTCCCACACACAGTTCTGTGGACCCATGTTAGGAGAACACTAGCTTGCAGTCACTTGTCCAAAGCACAGTGTAGCATAGATCTCATGGTAAATGGTTCTTTGTGCCATAGGCTCCTGGGTAAACAGACTGGCCTGACTCCCGATGCTCCATTCCTGGACCCCTGCTTACCTCTGGACATTAAAGATGAGATCCAGCAAAATGGGCAGACCCTGTACCTTCGGGGGACAGGAGACTTTGACCTGTGTCGAGAGACCCTCCAGCCTTTCATGAACAAAACCAATGAGACACAGACTTCCCTCAATGGAGTCTACCAGCCCCCAATCCACTTCCAGAACAGTGAATTCTATGGCTTCTCCGAATTCTACTATTGCACCGAGGATGTCTTGCGAATGGGGGGAGACTACAATGCTGCTAAATTTACTAAAGCTGCCAAGGTAATATGCCAAGAAAATTCCTGCTGGGTAGAGATCATGTGGGCTAAAGGTCCAGCTTCCATCATACTTCGAGGGAAAGGTGGTTATAGTGCATCGTTGTAATGTCCTTTCCCTTCTGTTGTGGGGAGGGAAGTCATCATAGAAGAAAATCTAAGCTCTACTAACCACATTGGTTACCAGGAATGTACAGACATACCAGAGTCTTAAGTTGACTTTTGATTGCCACGTCTCAGAATTCTTTCAGCAGGCTCCGACCCACATAGCAACCAGGATACTTCTATGATCTTGTTCCCTCTGCTTTCCCACTTTGTCAGAAGTTTCCCCTGTCATACCTCATCAGCCTTAGTGGCCCTTGTCTTCCAGCAATGGCCCATTGCCCTTCAAGTTCAGAGAGTCATAGATGCTCCCATCCGTGCCATAGTTGTCTGGCTGCTGACATTCGGTCTCTAACCTTAACCCCTTTTGTAATTCCAAACAAATGTACAGTTTTCCCTTTTCTTTCTCTCCTGTACCATCTTAGCTAACAGTATCACCAGCCATCCAGTCCCCTTCCTCAGGCATGGCTCTTGTAATGTTTTCTTTATGCTGCTGGGACTAGAACCCAAGGCCTTGTACATGGCAGGCAAATGCTCTCACTGACTCATATCCCCAACCCCTTTGCTTCTCTCTAGCCCTCTTTCAGCTCTCCCCCCCCCAATCAGTGATAGTTTCTCTCATGAGTATTTCTCAAGGCTATCCCTGTTCCCTGTTCTGCTGTCATTGTCCTTGCCAAGCATCTAGCTCACCAGGAGCTGTCCAATTGGTCTTCCGTGTCTCGTCTCTCTGGTGTTCATCCTGCATGCTGTCCAGGGTGTTCTGTCTGAAGCACATGCAATCACCTTACTGTACTGTTTAAAGTCTTTTGCAGCTTCACAGGCTGAACCCCACTGACCTTAGCCTGTCACTCCCTCCTCCTACCAGCTCGGGGCCCTCTCAGCATGGCAAGCAACCATAGTCCCTTACTATTTCTTTTTTTTTTTTTAAGATTTATTTATTGTGTATGCCTGCACACAGAAGAGGCTACCAGATCTCAATACAGATGGTTGCGAGCCACCATGTAGTTGCTGGAATTTGAACTCGGGTCCTCTGGAAAAACATCCAGTGCTCTTAACCTCTGAGCCATCTCTCCAGCCCTCGATAGTCCCTTACACTGTGCACCTTCTCTCATGTGCTTCTTCATTCCTGATGTTTTTCCTTCTGAGTCTTGTCCCAGGCTGAGCACATGGCCCTGTTCTCCCTGTCACACCATTTTTCTAAGTCCCAGCTTGGTCATCCTGTAGAGAGGTGAGGAGAGATGCTGTGTTAGGTAGTCAGGTGTCCTTCAGAGGTGCTCAGTGGGTGTGAGCAGTCAATGTGACTCCAGATTGCCACCCTCACCCAGTGCCAAGTCTGCCCCAGACCCCGGAACTCAGTGTGAATAGGCCAAACACTGCTTCACTTTGCCAGAGTCCATTCTGGTGCAGTGACATGGAAGAACTAACCAGGTTTGAAGAGGTCAGAGGTCAGCTCATCCTGCATGGCAGGATTTCCCTGACAGGGTTCCAGGACACACAGCAAGCACAGAGTTTGCTGGTTGCCAGGGATTCAGAGACCAAGTCTCAAGTTGACTGTAGAGACGCGCACTCTGCTTGTGTGTTTCCTGTGCTTGCTATGATTATGAACATGGTAAACCATTTATAAGTGGAAAAAATGATTTAATAATAGCTTTCAGGGATGATTTATTTGGGGTGAAATTTTTTTAGGATTACTGTGCCACAAAGTGGTCTATCTTGAGGGAGCGCTTTGACCGAGGACTGTACGCCTCTCATGCTGACCTCCATCGGCTTAAGTAAGTAGCAGACCATCAAGTCCTGACTGCCAGGTGACCCTCCTTAGCCACTGTCCTTCTCCACCCTTGGCCACCTCCAGAAGGGACAAGTTCTCATTAAGGGATTTGTAGCTGCTTGCTCCTGTCCTGCCAGCCATCCAGGTGTGTGAGCCGCGGTCCCTTTGCATCTGTTCTCTCAGCCAGACTCCACCCCTCCCAGAACACTCATGATACTTCTCTGATGAACTGGAGCCATTCGGATTTGGTTTATAAAGTTCTCTTTTGTTTAAGTCACTCAAGTGCAGTGACTGGGTCTTATTATTTATTGCTATTTTTTATCACCCTCTTAGTTCAGTGCTTTATATTTAAAAAGCCTCTAATGACCATTTGGGACTAAGTAATAACAGAGCTGAGAAGGATCCTCCTGCCTTTCCACTTGTCATAAAGAGACTGGGGTTAAAGGGGTTGGAACTTAGCAGCGTCTGTTCGGTAACTGATGGACACAAAGGTGTGTGCAGGGTGGTATCTCACAGTACTGATTAAATGACACTGTTTCGGGCTAATCGGTTTTGACAGGTGAACCATTCTGTGGGGGGGTGAACCTGAGCTAGATAAATCACTCAGAAGCACATACGCGGTGGCCCGCTCAGAGCAGCCCGCTGCAGGCTGGAGACGGTCTGCCTGGTGCATTCTGACTGGGATGCCTGTCTGACTTGTGCATGTGCTTGGCATTTGTAGGTATCAGTGTTTCAAATCAGCCTGGATGTTTGAGGTGTTCCACAGGGGCTTCTCCTTTCCTGTCACATACAAAAACCTGAAGACAGCCTTGCAGGTGTATGACAAGGAAGTGCAGTGGACACTGGGGGCCATCCTTTACAGGACCCGCTTTTTGCCCTTGAGGTAGGCTGTGGACTTGGGAGAGTCACAAAGGCTGCTGCTCTGAATCGCAGCGCCTCCTGGTGACTGTATTTTGTAGACTTGTTTTCAGAGCTGTGAGGCCAGCCAGAGTTAACTTGGGTCTTCTCTGCCTCTCAAGTACTTCCTGCCCATCCCACAGCACACAACACTGGTGCCATCTTGTGTCCCAACTGTCTGTTCCCTAATCCTCACAGAAAGGTCTGTTCATGGTGACCCTTATGGCTTTGGGCCCCTTCATTGGATATTACAGTGTCTAGGATTACAGAAAAAAAAAAAACATATTGAACTGCATTTATGACACTGTTGTAGCAAACAGATTTGTGATGTAGGAGGACATCTTTATTTACACACTAACTTATAATGCCTTGCAGAACCATCATGTCCATTCCTTCAGCTTGATCATGACTGACAGCTGAGACATCAGCTATCATGATGGGCCAAAAACATCAGTCATTGCCTTTAGCATTAAGTCTCAGTTAATACTTTTAAGACTGTGACATTGTCTTCATCAGTTCATGTACAAAGAAAATACTAAATTCCAGTCCACAGTTGGTCACATAGACATACAGATTTCCCCCATTCAAGTTCACAGACCTAGCTCAGCTGACCCATATTAAAAACTATATCTATCTGGTATTTTTAATTGGGTCAGCTCCAGAAATTCTGTGCAGTAGCTGTTACTGATTATACATAGTTCCATGTGAGTGTGTTCATTCCATTAGCTTCCTTGTAACAGCAAAACCCTGACCCTTGCATTTATTAGATTATAATTCTGGGGTCTTATAGGCATGCCTTCACATGTCACTGACTTAGTATTAAGAGCACAGTGTTGGCAGGAACGCACTTTGGGCCTGCTGTCCCCTGACTCATCAGTAGGGACAGCAGGGACAGCAGGCCCTGTCTTGCAGCCTTCTCACGGTTTGTTTCTGTTTGTTTCCATGCCTGCAGAGATATCCGGCAGGAGGTGATCCGGGCTGGCCACGGGCACTGGCGGGGTGTGTCCTTTGTCTACAACCACTATCTGTTCTCTGGCTGCTTCTTGGTCGTCCTGCTGTCCATCCTTCTCTACCTGCTTCGACTGCGGCGCATCCATCGCAGGGCACCCAGAACTGGCTCTCTGTGGATAGAGGAAGGCCTGCCCTCCCAGAAGGGCCCTGGCCCCTTGTGACACTGTGGCAGCTTAAGGAGGACTCTACAGGAAAAGCCATTTTCGCCTCAGGGTTTCTCTGTATGCTCAGACGGTTTTGTGATCCCCTTCCTTTCTGTTAAAATGAAACCCACTGATTGTAAACCCTGCTGTCTAGAGGTATTGCCATTTTGAATACAGCTTTAACTGGAGGAGTGGGAAAAGGGAATTCGCCTGATTTGTGCTGCATAGTATCTGCCACAAACAAGTAAGGGTTTTGTTTTCTTTAAGACCTGCTACATTTTCAGCACACGCTGTTAGATAGTGGAGGTCGATGGGCAGGTTTCCTTTAGTGTGGGTGGGTCTTCAGGTGGTCCTGGGACAGAACCAAGAAGTAAGTTAAGTCTCTCCTCTCTGAAAACTCCAATGTAGAAAAGGGGTGGTTGATTTTATTTACTGCTCAGGTCTGTCACTACCTGTGTTTTCTTTGTGATTTAAGTATTCGGTTATTCATAGCAAAAATCGACAAATGTTGGCACAGGGGAGTAATCCGAAGACAAGAGCTCCTGAGGAGAACCTTGTCTGGCCGCTGCTGAAGCACATGCCTGTAAATTAGCCATTCTTGTCCCTGGGTTTAGGAGAGCCCGTTGCCCTCTTACAGCAGGGTTGGAGTTTGTTTGTATGTTCATTTGTTTTGTTTGGTTTTAACCAGAGAGTCGTTCAAGCTCCCTGGCTTAGTGTTCTGAGAACCGGAGTGTCCCTGCAGGCGCTCTGGCTCTGAGAAGCAGGCCTGTGCTGTTCAGCTGCTCCGTCTCCCACTTTCAAGTTGGCTTCAGTGTTTTTCTCCAGCACACTCCACACTGCTTGACAGTTCTCATTGTCACCCTGTGGTTGCATTGTCCGTGGCAATGCCACTGTAAGCCCATACCATGGAAGAGCCTGAATTTAAAACAAGAAATAAATGCACACGTTGAAAACAAATTTGACATTTTAAGCAGAAACCTGAGACCCATGTGAGGTTGGTGGGGGGGTTCATTTATTCGTTTTGTATGATGTTCATTTAGTTTAGAAATCCGGGGGATTCTTATCCATGGGGTTTGTTTTTAGAAGGCTTTGGCTTTGGTCGTGATGGTGCACAAATTTCCTAGCTCCACAACACTTAAGTTGAAGTAGTTGGTAGCAAATGGCTATTTTGAGAACCTTCAGCTACTTATTTAAAATTCTGAGTCTAGAGAAGAATGGTGATTCCAAAGCCCTGTTACCTTTAGAGAAAAGATGGGGTGTGTGCTGCATTGACCACTTAAGAGACTTCAAATTTATGAAAGAAATACAGGTTCCTCATCTCTTCAGAGTGTCTATTCTAGATGAAAATCAGGTGGGGAGGTGGAGGGCTGTGGTGTTGAGCAGCCCATGTCTGGGTCTTGTTCCAGAGGACATACATTGGAGTGAATAGTTTCTGAAGTGCTGGCCACCAGCAGCTTCAGGCCCGCCACAGGTGAGCCTGTCATTGCAATTCTAGCAATCATCATGCTGGCATCTTTTCCATGACTTCCTGCAGTGGGGCATGCCCTGTGAGCTATCTGTGGCCTTGGTGCTAAAGAGGAAGTGTGTTAGTGTCAGTCTGTACTCCTACCACTGCTGGGCCGCAGGAATGGTGAGGCGAGGCCTCATCATCTGTGCAATGAAAATCCGTAAATGCCTCGAATTTGGGGGATTTGCCTTTAAGACCAAGACTAGGAAAAGCCAGTATAAGACTTACTGAGATCTGCCTTCAAGACTTCCTCCCCTGCAAAGCCACTCCTTACAGAAGGTGCTGGGTCTGGTCCTGCTCCTGCAGTTTGGGGACAGAATGGAAACAAACAGGCACTCTCAGACTGCAACAGGATCCCTGCTACAAGGACCAATCTTACTTTCCAAAGAAAGCCCCAGCTGGGGTTTCCAGGGCCACATTACCCATGTTTTCCTGATAGCTCCTGGAGCAAGACCTAGCAACCTTTGGAAATCTAGGAGACTTTGACAACTTAGAAAGTGAAAAGGTTTCCTTTATCTCGTGGCTTCTGTGGGGTCATTGGCCCCCACACATAGTGAGACTGCACACTATGGCAGGAGCCAGGACTAGAGCAGAGCCACCTGCTTCTTAACCAAGGGCAAAGGGCTTGAGCCCCACCCTCCCCTTTAGCCAAGAGTGAAGCTGGGGAGAGGGAGCTCGAGCCCCAGGCTCGCCTTCAAGGCCACCACTAGTGGCCTGAGAATGAACTTAGTAAGCCCCATCTTAAAAGTTCCTCTGCCTCCCCTAACACCGAGCCGGGGTCCAGCCTCTAACACAGGAGCCTTCGGGGACATTGCAGATCAGACTGGCGTTCAACGGGCTCCTACAAGGGAGCTGCAGCTTTGTAACTATGTTGTTGTTTGGGGTTTTTTCCCCCTTTGACTCTTTACTCTTTGTTCTTTTGGCTCTTTTTTTTTTAAGGGGGGCACCACCCAGCTCCTAAATAAACCACACATGGAGGCTTATTCCTCATGAGTGCATGGTCTTAGCTTGGCTTGTTTCTAGCCAGCTTAAATTATCCCATCTATCTGTTGCCTCTGGGCTTTTGTCTGTCTCTATTCCTATATGCCTTCTTTCTCTTTGACTTGCTGTGTAGCTGGGTGCCTGGCCCCTGATGTCCTCCTCCCCGAGTTCTCTTGCTCCTTCTCCTTCTACTCTTTTTCTCCTTCCATTTATTCTCTCAGCCTGTCAGAGAGCCTGTGTCTCTCTCCTGCCCAGCTATTGACTGTTTAGCTCTTTAGGCCAATCAGGTGCTTTAGATAGGTAAAGTAACACAGCTTTACAGAGTTAAACAAAGGTAACATAAAGGAATGCAACACATCTTTGCATCATTAAACAAATGTTCCACAGCATAAAAAAAAAATGTAGCACATCTTAAAATAGCATTCTACAACATTAACTCAGTGAGTTGCCCTTCAGTTCCCATATGGGAAGTGACCACAGGTCAACCTTAAAATATCTTCTTGGATTCATCTCACTTCCTTGCATGCAGATTACTTCCAAGGTCTGTTTTTGCCAAATCAGGACACCTCCTCTTCCCCAAATTTAAGAACAACAAAAACAGAGAAAGCTCTTTAGGAAGCTCATGTGGCCCTGAGGGGTTTCTGAGTGAGAGCAATCCTCACGAAGGCCACCCAGTGCTTCTCTGAAGATGGCGGTGAGTGAGAGGCAGCCAAGGATAAAGTTGCTCTGACGTGAAGATTCCTGTCACTTAGTAGCTGTCCAGGAGCCAGTGAACTGTGCATCTGGAGTAGAAAGCAGAAGACACCAGACTGGGAAGTTGCTAGAAAGCTTTGTCAATTCCTCATGAGCACCCGACGGAGAGACCCAGCAGTAAATGCACACTTAACATGGCCTATTTCAAGATGTATTTATAACCACACAGGAGTATTCTCAGACTTCAGGCACACCACAGAAAAGGCAAACAGATCTGCACTCTAGGTTTTCTGTAACCCTCTGGCTTTACCTGTGCTTCCTCTTTGGGTGTAGGTGATGGAGAAGCTGGTGGTCTAAGGCAGGGGTCATGGATCACATTCTGACCACCCTAAAGGTCCAGCCCTTGAACAGACAACTCATTTTAACCAAGGCCAGCATAGGATAGTGTTCCTTATGAGAAGCATGTGTTAGCAAGAAATCAAAAAGTTAAAATTAAAAAACGGCAAATGTGTTTGCCAAGGTTTAAAAAGAACACTGTCTACACTTCCCAGTCCTCTGTGATAATGATGTGCAATGCAGCAAAACTATCTTTATGTAAATTACACATTTATTTCAGCGCTCCATGTTCTCCTATGTTGAATATCCCTCTAGGTCAGTGGTTCTCAACCTTCCTAACATTGTGACCCTTTAATACAATTTCTCATGTTGTGCTGACCCCCAACCATAAGTTTATTAATAACTGTAACTTTGCTGCTGTTATAAATTATAATGTAAATATCTGATCTGCAGATGTTCTTAGGTAACCCCTAGGAGAATGCTTTGTCACTGAGTTTACAGTTAGGGATCGCAAAACTAAGGGAGCACCTTTAAATGTTTTTTGTTTGTCTTTTAAGTGATAGCTTTTCCTTCAGAGTAAGAATTATTATTTTGGGAAGCATGTGTGTGTACCTTCCATGTTAGGCATCCTCCCCTCAACACTTGGACATGGATGGATGTTGATAATAAAGGCTCACCCAGTGAGCCAGAGTCACAGATGCTGTCATCTTGTGACTTAAATAGACTTCTCTCTGATGTCTGAATCTTGTTAGATGAATAAATTCATCAAAATAAGCTGAGTCTGCACACACTTTGTTTTCCTTATGTTGAACTTGCAGCAAGGAGCAGTTGTAAGGACAGCAGGTCCTGTGTCCTATAGCGCAGGGATCAGGAACTTCACAAGAAGCGAGGCTTACCAACATGCAGTGGTGAGCCTGTGATGGCCAACCTGAGGTAGCTACTTATCCGGTCACTATGGTCTAGAGAGATAGTTCAGTTGGTAAAGCTCTTTGCCACGCAGGCATGAGAACCTGACTTCAATCTCCGGAAACCATGTGTTAAAACCAGACACGGTGGCATGTGCTTGTAATACCATCATGGTCTCCAGAGACGGGCAGATCCCTGGAGCTCCCAGTTTGGTGAACTCTAGGCCAGTAAGAGATTCTGCCTCAAACAATAAGGTGGACAGCATCTGAGGGACAGCATAGGATTGCTGGCCTTCCCACACATGGAAATGCATGTACATATACACATAAAATTAAGGTTTCCATTTGCAAGTGCCTGTTCACATGTAGACAGAAAGAAATGACTGGGGACTGGAGAGGTGCCTCAGTAGGGAAGAACATTTGCTGTTTTTGCGAAGCATCTGAGTTCAGTTCCACAGCTGTCTGTAACTCTAGTTCCAGGGAATCACATACCCTCCTCTGACCTCCATGGGCACTACACACATGTGGTACACATATATACATATAGGCAAAATTCATAAAATATTTTTGAAAAAATAACTAGTATGTATTGTCATGAAAAAACCAAAATGGAGGAGCACTGGTTAGGGCACTTACGTGGTGTTGGGAGGCCATGGTTCATCAGATCTTGGACACATGAAATGCAACCCTTGAACCGAGCAACAGCTACCTGAAACATGGTTAACTTGGGCTGACCAGTACAACAGACCTTTTCCACCAAATTTCACAGACACTGAGAGAACACCCACAACCGTTTCTACAAGACAGCTTGACTTTTCCCAGCATGGGTCATAATTTCTGACAAATAGTGTAATTTCCAACTGCCCTGTCAGCAAAGTTATCAATACGGCTCCTGTTTTGGAATGTCTCAGACCATTTTCAAGACTGTGAATCTGTGTCTTTCAAGTTACAAGCCTGATTAGCACCAAATTAATTTTTTTTATTCTTGACTGGGTTAATTTTATTCTCAGTCAATATCCACAGATAGTAGCAGCAAATGTCTTTTTAGTTCCTTGTGTGGAGCCAACTTTCACTGTACTGTGTCTAAGAAATGCCCAGTGGGTTCTGGCTGTTCCCTCTGGTTTGCTAATGGCAGTGGGAATTCCACCTTAAGTCAGTTTGTAGTTCTAAGTGTTCTAGTTTGTTTTCTGTTGCTGTGAAAAACACTATGACCAAAAGCAGCTTTGGGGAGGAACGAATCTTCCACCTGTCACAAGTCACAGTCCATCACTGAGGGAAGTCAGGGCAAGAACTGAAGCAGAGACCTTGGAGGAATGTTCCTTACTGACCTGCTCTCTGACTCGCGCTCTGTTGGCGTTTTATACAGCCCAGAACCACCTCCCTTCCACACCAAGCATCAATCAAAATAGTCTCTCAAAGACATGGCCGCAGGCCAGTGTAATCAAGGCAATTCTCTAATAGAATTAGCACCCTCTTCCCAGGTAGCAAGAAAAACCAGCAGCACGCTAAGCTTAAAGCCTTTATTTCTAGAGAAT